TTCACCAGGCCATTCTTTGGTGTACCGATGCTCGGAATTGCTGAATTCCAGTCTACTGTGGCATAAATAAGAAAGATTCCCTTGTTTGTCTAAATATACTGCAGTCACTCATCCTTGCAAGATAACTTTTTCAAAATTTCTGTATATTTACTATAATGTCAATGATGCACTTTTGTTTTTTAGCGTCGCCACCAAGAGTTTCCCTAGAGCAAATAATAGCAGCTGCTAATGGTGTGACGAATATGACCTTAGCACACGAAATAGCAGTAGATAAAGACTTTGTGCTGAAACAAGCGGAAACTCAGGAATTGTCGTAAGTATAGGTACATCTGATTTGAAATTTTAACCATTTAGCCTTCAGGATTTTTTAGCTCCGCTGTCGACTTTGTCGAGCGGAGCTTATCATATGAGTGATTGTCCGTCGTCCGCCGTCGTCCGTGTCAATGTTTTACTTTTTCGACTTCTTCTTGAAAACTACTAAGCCTGAATGCTTTGATACTTGGTGTATATGTACCTTGGGTAGACCTCTCTCAGATTTGTTCATTTTGTAATGATATCTTTAATTCTCTAATTTTGGTGAATATTTTTGTCATTTTTGGTAAAAAGTGATATTTTCGACTTCTTGTTAAAAACCGCAAGTGCAATTGCTTTGATATACATATATAGGTACTACATGTGGACCTCTCTCAGATTTGTTCATTTTGTAATGATATCTTTAATTCTCTAATTTTGGTGAATATTTTTGTCATTTTTGGTAAAAAGTGATATTTTCGACTTCTTGTTAAAAACCGCAAGTGCAATTGCTTTGATATTACATATATAGGTACTACATGTGGACCTCTCTCAGATTTGTTCATTTTGTAATGATATCTTTAATTCTCTAATTTTGGTGAATATTTTTGTCATTTTTGGTAAAAAGTGATATTTTCGACTTCTTGTTAAAAACCGCAAGTGCAATTGCTTTGATATTACATATATAGGTACTACATGTGGACCTCTCTCAGAATTGTTCATTTTGAAATGATATCTTTAATTCTCTAATTTTGGTGAATATTTTTATCATTTTTGGTAAAAAGTGATATTTTTGACTTCTTGTTAAAAACACGCAAG